GCCTTTGGTAACTCTTGAAAAAATATTCTTTAAAAAATCCACGCCTTTGGTAACTCTTGAAAAAATATTCTTTAAAAAATCCACGCCTTTGGTAACTCTTGAAAAAAATTCTTTAAAAAATCCACGCCTTTGGTAGAAAAAATATTCTTTAAAAAATCCACGCCTTTGGTAACTCTTGAAAAAATAAAAAATCCACGCCTTTGGTAACTCTTGAAAAAATATTCTTTAAAAAATCCACGCCTTTGGTAACTCTTTAAAAAATCCACGCCTTTGGTAACTCTTTAAAAAATCCACGCCTTTGGTAACTCTTGAAAAAATATTCTTTAAAAAATCCACGCCTTTGGTAACTCTTGAAAAAACTCTTGAAAAAATATTCTTTAAAAAATCCACGCCTTTGGTAACTCTTGAAAAAATATTCTTTAAAAAATCCACGCCTTTGGTAACTCTTGAAAAAATATTCTTTAAAAAATCCACGCCTTTGGTAACTCTTGAAAAAATATTCTTTAAAAAATCCACGCCTTTGGTAACTCTTGAAAAAAAATCTTTAAAAAATCCACGCCTTTGGTAACTCTTGAAAAAATATTCTTTAAAAAATCCACGCCTTTGGTAACTCTTGAAAAAATATTCTTTAAAAAATCCACGCCTTTGGTAACTCTTGAAAAAACATTCTTTAAAAAATCCACGCCTTTGGTAACTCTTGAAAAAATATTCCTTAAAAAATCCACGCCTTTGGTAACTCTTTAAAAAATCCACGCCTTTGGTAACTCTTGAAAAAATATTCTTTAAAAAATCCACGCCTTTGGTAACTCTTGAAAAAATATTCTTTAAAAAATCCACGCCTTTGGTAACTCTTGAAAAAATATTCTTTAAAAAATCCACGCCTTTGGTAACTCTTGAAAAAATATTCTTTAAAAAATCCACGCCTTTGGTAACTCTTTAAAAAATGTTCTTTAAAAAATCCACGCCTTTGGTAACTCTTGAAAAAATATTCTTTAAAAAATCCACGCCTTTGGTAACTCTTGAAAAAATATTCTTTAAAAAATCCACGCCTTTGGTAACTCTTGAAAAAATATTCTTTAAAAAATCCACGCCTTTGGTAACCCTTGAAAAAATATTCTTTAAAAAATCCACGCCTTTGACCCTTGAAAAAATATTCTTTAAAAAATCTACGCCTTGTAGTGACTCTTGAAAAAAATATTTTTTAAAAAATCCACGCCTTTGGTAACTCTTGAAAAAATATTCTTTAAAAAATCCACGCCTTTGGTGAAAAAATACTTTAAAAAATCCACGCCTTTGGTAACTCTTGAAAAAATATTCTTTAAAAAATCCACGCCTTTGGTAACTCTTGAAAAAATGTTCTTTAAAAAATCCACGCCTTTGGTAACTCTTGAAAAAGTATCCTTTAAAAAATCCACGCCTTTGGTAACTGTTGAAAAAATATTCTTTAAGAAATCCACGCCTTTGGTAACCCTTGAAAAAATATTCTTTAAAAAATCCACGCCTTTGGTAACCCTTGAAAAAATATTCTTTAAGAAATCCACGCCTTTGGTAACCCTTGAAAAAATATTCTTTAAGAAATCCACGCCTTTGGTAACCCTTGAAAAAATATTCTTTAAAAAATCCACGCCTTTGGTAACCCTTGAAAAAATATTCTTTAAAAAATCTACGCCTTGTATTGACCCTTGAAAAAATATTATTTAAAAAATCCACGCCTTGTATGTATGGACTCTTGAAAAAATATTCTTTAAAAAATCTACGCCTTGTATTGACCCTTGAAAAATTATTCTTTAAAAAATCTACGCCTTTGGTAACTCTTGAAAAAATATTCTTTAAAAAATCCACGCCTTGTATTGACCCTTGAAAAAATATTCTTTAAAAAATCCACGCCTTGTATTGACCCATGAAAAAAATATTCTTTAAAAAATCCACGCCTTTGGTAACCCTTGAAAAAATATTCTTTAAAAAATCCACGCCTTTGGTAACCCTTGAAAAAATATTCTTTAAGAAATCCACGCCTTTGGTAACCCTTGAAAAAATATTCTTTAAAAAATCCACGCCTTTGGTAACCCTTGAAAAAATATTCTTTAAAAAATCTACGCCTTGTATTGACCCTTGAAAAAATATTCTTTAAAAAATCCACGCCTTTGGTAACTCTTGAAAAAATATTCTTTAAAAAATCCACGCCTTTGGTAACCCTTGAAAAAATATTCTTTAAAAAATCTACGCCTTGTATTGACCCTTGAAAAATTATTCTTTAAAAAATCCACGCCTTTGGTAACTCTTGAAAAAATATTCTTTAAAAAATCCACGCCTTTGGTAACTCTTGAAAAAATATTCTTTAAAAAATCCACGCCTTTGGTAACTCTTGAACAAATATTCTTTAAAAAATCCACGCCTTTGGTAACTCTTGAAAAAATATTCTTTAAAAAATCCACGCCTTTGGTAACTCTTGAAAAAATATTCTTTAAAAAATCCACGCCTTTGGTAACTCTTGAAAAAATATTCTTTAAAAAATCCACGCCTTTGGTAACTCTTGAAAAAATATTCTTTAAAATATCCACGCCTTTGGTAACTCTTGAAAAAATATTCTTTAAAAAATCCACGCCTTTGGTAACTCTTGAAAAAATATTCTTTAAAAAATCCACGCCTTTGGTAACTCTTGAAAAAATGTTCTTTAAAAAATCCACGCCTTTGGTAACTCTTGAAAAAATATTCTTTAAAAAATCCACGCCTTTGGTAACTCTTGAAAAAATATTCTTTAAAAAATCCACGCCTTGTATTGACCCTTGAAAAAATATTCTTTAAAAAATCCACGCCTTGTATTGACCCTTGAAAAAATATTCTTTAAAAAATCCACGCCTTTGGTAACCCTTGAAAAAATATTCTTTAAAAAATACACGCCTTTGGTAACCCTTGAAAAATTAACATCTTGAAAAAATCCACACCTTGTATTGACACTTGAAAAAATATTCTTTAAAAAATCCACGCCTTGTATTGACCCATGAAAAAATATTCTTCAAAAAATCCACGCCTTGTATTGACCCTTGAAAAAAATATTCTTTAAAAAATCCACACCTTTGGTAGTTGGTTCTTGAAAACAAATTCACGCTTTGTGTTGGTCCTTGAAAAAATATACTTTAAATAATCCAAGATTTGTGTTGGTCCTTGAAAAAAATCTTTAAAAAATTCACCCCTAGTCTTTTAAAATATATTCTTATAGTACGAACATATCGCCATTTTTCCTCGTGCCCATTTTTATAGATTTTACTTCAAACTCTGATTATATACCTGCCTGGAGCCTATTATTTTTATATAACAGTATATACTTTTGAATAATAAAAAATAAAGTAATAACATCATGTTAACATTATGCCAACCTCCTTATTATCTTGTCCACAACAACAAATATAAAGACCTTCTCTTTTTCCTATTTACAGAGCGTTCCATAAAATTGGTGCATTTAACATATCGGCCAAATGCTGCAGCGTCGGCAACAGTGCATCCAACAGATGTTACATCCCGCAACGAGGGGGAGTCTATGGAATTACAAATACCAAATAATAGCTTAGAAACCGTCACCACTGCTGCTGATGTCGTCGTGCATCGCTCTAAACGATCTGACAATGAACCAGCATCGGCAACAACATCAACGCCAACAAATAGTCAAGGTAGTGGCGCCCCAGAGTTACCTCCAATAGTATCAGTGCAAATCAAAGGTAAGTTGCTATTCAATTTTGTAGTTACAAAGTTGTTTTTTACTTCATGGGTAAAGGGGGACGATTGGGAGAACGTTTAACTTTATTGCAGGATGGTTAAAATGTAAATTACATGGAGCAGACAACATATGGCCCATAATTTCTATACATTGTTTTTTTATTTCTTTCATTTCTTTTGGAGTATTTTGCCTTTGGCTATCTCTATCATCGATTTTTTCCGCTGCATTACTGCAAAAGTTTTGTTGTTATTGTTTCTGAAAGTCCAATGTTATGGTAGACCTATTTGACCTCTTTTTTCCAGTTGTTTTACTGGATGAATGAATGAAAGATGCAGAAGATGAAGAACTCAGATACTGAAGAAGAAATTTTGCCATAGATAGTTGCCATTGTTTAATTAAATGCATTTAGTGTTATTGGTGTAATTCGTTCGCTGGTTCGATTCGCGAGAAATGGAGATGAATGACGGTGCCATCTGGTTACCAAGTGTTGATGAATGATAGAAGACATAGATCTGAACTGAAGCCAGGAGTGCAATAAAATCTCTACGATGAAAGGTTAATAGATCAATTGAAAGCATGCGCATAAAATATGTTTTTTTTGCATGTTGAGGGTCTTCGAAAAGTTGTCGTATTATTAGATTAAATATTTTGAGAATTTAAAAGGTGTGAAACAAGTCCCTCATGTTAATGGAATATTTTAATATTTTCTATATATGGCTAGCCTATTTATCTGCCCACTTAAAAAACAATATTCTTACATATAATTTTTTTTATTAAATAATGGTTCATTTCAATTTTCGCTCCACTTGACCTTCTGACACCGTTGAATTCCTCTTTAGAAATGCTGCCGATGTATTTAAAGCATATCAAAATATGCAATCTATATCTATCCACAAAAGAATGAAAAAAACAAAGACAGACTTAATTTTTGCGGTCAATGAATTTAAATTACTATGGCAATTCTTAAGTCTTATGCATATTAGAATTTATGCGAGGGGTGTTATGGAAGTAAAGCTGATGAACATAATTAAATAGGTTGTGAAATTATTTGCAAAAAATTCTCAAGCCATAACACTAAATCAGTGAGCGCATCGGTACAGTCGGATGGGGCCGACGTGCTTTCAGTTTGAAGCTAGGGTAGGTTAAACGGGTAATGCCGGTAACTTTGCCGTCCGAAGACGAACTGATCAACTATTTTGTTTTCTACTTTCACCACACTGTGGTACAGGGTATTACGTCTTTTGCATATGTTTGCAACATGCAAAAGGAACCGAGATAGACACGTGGTTCCTTTTGAGAATATGCATAGAATCACTTTCTGAGTCGATTTACGCATGACCGTCCGTCCGTCCATGTATTTTTTGTGAACACAGTACAGGTAGCATTCATGATCCGATTTGGATGAAATTTGACATAAGTCACTTATTTGGGCCAAGGACAAACCCTATTGAAATTGGAAAAAATCGGTTCAGATTTAGATATAGCTCCCATATATATTTTCGTCCGATATATCTCCCGATTTGCACGAAATTTGGCACAGCTTAATGAATTAGGTCTAGAATGATGTGTGTTAAGTTTCCTGAAAATCGGCCCGTCCGACTTCACTACTTTCCTTATTGTTTTTTTGGATATATTCAACAGATGTATCCTAACGGACGTCGCATTATTGAAGGACCAGTAAAATGAAGTTGGATCCATAAACATGTCATTCTGCAACCTACACTATTTTTTTTTTTATTTGGTCAGATATAGAGTAGCTCCCTACAATGGGACAAAATTATGTAAATTAATTTAAAGCAAATGTCAATTGTACACAATTGTGTGGCAATCGGACAAACCTTGGGTCTTTAGTAGGAGGAGCTTTATAAAAATCCGAACCGATTTGCAACTAAGCAAACATAATTCTAGACGTAATTCAGCACGCCATGCCTAATATTGTGCACATAGAAAGATATATAGGGACTTTGGTGCACCATTTACATAAATTCGGACGAAAATATATATGGGAGCTATATCTAAATCTGAACCGATTTTCAGGAAACTTAACACACATCATTCTAGACCCAATTCAGTACACCATGCCAAATTTCGTGAAAATCGGAGGATATATAGGGACTTTGGGGCACCATTTACATAAAATCGGACGAAAATATATATGGGAGCTATATCTAAATCAGAATCGATTTTCAGGAAACTTTACGCACATCATTCTAGACCTAATTAATTACGCTGTGCCAAATTTCGTGCAAATCGAAAGATATATAGGGACTTTACATTAAATCGGACGAAAATATATATGGGTGCTATATCTAAATCTGAACCAATTTTTCAATTGTTCAATTTCAATAGGGTTCGTCCTTGGGCCAAATAAGTGACCTGTGCCAAATTCCATCCAATACGGATCATAAATGCGACCTGTACTTTGTTTGCAATTTAACATGGACAGATAGACAGACAGACGGACGGACATGCATAAATCGACTCAGAAAGTGTTTCTATGCATATTCTCAAAAGGAACCATGTGTCTATCTCGTTTCCTTTTGCTTGTTACAAACATTTGCATAAAGACATTTACATAAAGACATAATAATAAACAGTGAGCGGGGTAGTATAGTAGTATATATATTCAGTACAGTCCTTCTAATTACTTGTCTATATTCTCTTCGCCATTGGTTGTGTTGTGATGTTCGGATTATAATTGTGGCCTATAGATCGACTCGAAAAACACAACAAATTATGTTTTCGGTCCACTTCATCCCAAAATTATTATTGGAACTAGATGAATTACTTCCCATATCCCATCCCATAGTTATAAGCTCTTGTGGCTAATCCCAATCCCCTACATAACAATTGTTAAACCTGGGGGATAATTGCCACAAATGTGAAATCGAGAATGGGTGTCTTAAATGCATCTGAGATTTTGATATCAAGTATTTATTGTTTAACAACACAAAGTGACGTTTGATACTACTTATCTAAGTATGATAAGGTGATAGAACTTTTATCTACATACATACTATTGTTGGAATCAGTAAAATATGTTCAGTAGCTGTTATCAGTTGTTGTCCGATTGTTATCTTGTTTTTGAACCATGACCTACAACAAATAAAAATAAACTAGAACAGGGGTAATCAAATGAATTACTATTATGTACGGAATGAAATAGTGTACGCTGAATATTTTCATTACCCATAGTTTTAAAAATTTCTCCAAAAATATTTGCAAATATATGCTTTGTCAAAACCTCATTATAAATATTCCGCTACATTTTAAGCCTTTGTGCGCATTTTCCATCAGAATTTGGAGCTGGAGTTACCGTGGCTGCTGGCACCAGACTTGCCTTCAATAGATCCTTGTTAGGGGATTTAAAGTGTATTCATTTGAATTACAACGGCTTTAATATGAGTCCCGCATTGATATTTTTCGTCCCTACCTCCCCGAGCTGGGAGTGGGTAATTTACGCGTCTGCTGCCTTCCTTAGATGTGGCTCCCTCTCCGAAATCGAACCCTTTTTCCCCGTTCTTGTTGCAATCATGGTAGTCCTAAATACTACCATCAAAATACTACCACCATGGATAGGGCTAAGATCTGTCGTCGGTACGAGAGCATACGATCTACAAGATATCTAGAGTTCAACCATATAAAAGATCAAAGATCGATTGGTTTTAGCCTAATAAAAACACATGTGCAAAAGGTCCGTCTTAATAATGCTCTAAAATTACCACAGTTATCCAAGTAACTGTTAACGATCTAAGGAACCATAATTGATATAATGAGCCTTTTGCGGTTTCACTGTTAATTGGTGTGCACTTAGACTGGCATGGCTTAATCTTTGAGACAATCATTTAACTACTAGCTGAATCAACCAAAATAATGTTTTATTGTATGTTTTTCCATCGACAACTTAATGACAGCCCTTTGAAAAAATGGCCTTCAAAAATCCAAGCCTGTGACAGCCCTTAAAAATATTTATGAAGAAATCTTCTTTAAAAAATCCACGCCTTTGGCAGCCATGAAGAAATCTTCTTTAAAAAATTCACGCCTTTGGCAGCCATGAAGAAATCTTCTTTAAAAAATCCACGCCTTTGGCAGCCATGAAGAAATCTTCTTTAAAAAATCCACGACTTTGGCAGCCATGAACAAATCTTCTTTAAAAAATCCACGCCTTTGGCAGCCATGAAGAAATCTTCTTTAAAAAATCCACGTCTTTGGCAGCCATGAAGAAATCTTCTTTAAAAAATCCACGCCTTTGGCAGCCATGAACAAATCTTCTTTAAAAAATCCACTCCTTTGGCAGCCATGAAGAAATCTTCTTTAAAAAATTCACGCATTTGGCAGCCATGAAGAAATCTTTTTTAAAAAATCCACGCCTTTGGCAGTCATGAAGAAATCTTCTTTAAAAAATTCACGCATTTGGCAGCCATGAAGAAATCTTTTTTTAAAAAATCCACGCCTTTGGCAGCCATGAAGAAATCTTCTTTAAAAAATCCACGTCTTTGGCAGCCATGAACAAATCTTCTTTAAAAAATCCACGCCTTTAGCAGCCATGAAGAAATCTTCTTTAAAAAATCCACGCCTTTGGCAGCCATGAACAAATCTTCTTTAAAAAATCCACGCCTTTGGCAGCCATGAAGAAATCTTCTTTAAAAAATCCACTCCTTTGGCAGCCATGAAGAAATCTTCTTTAAAAAATCCACGCCTTTGGCAGCCATGAACAAATCTTCTTTAAAAAATCCACGCCTTTGGCAGCCATGAACAAATTTTTTAAAAAAAAAAATCACGCCTTTGGCAGCCATGAAGAAATCTTCTTTAAAAAATTCACGCATTTGGCAGCCATGAAGAAATCTTTTTTAAAAAATCCACGCCTTTGGCAGCCATGAAGAAATCTTCTTTAAAAAATCCACGCCTTTGGCAGCCATGAAGAAATCTTCTTTAAAATGTGAATAATTGGCAATAATAATTGTTTTAGTCCATGTATACCAAAGGAAAACCAAGGTAGTTTCTGATTTCCACGAGTCGCCCTGATGGCCCCATGTTGTCTAGGGCCACAAAAATTTGCAGAGGGGTTGAGGAACACCTAAATAAGATCCCAATAAAAAATAACTAAAAAAGCTTAACCCATTCGAAAGCTACAAGGAATTTACTACGATTGTTTTAGATAGATTATCATTTAAGCATGGATTTAAGTATATATTATTTTAATGTATATATAATTTTGAGTTCCTACATCTAGATCAGATCCGTAAAGACTAATTTCAAACAAAAAAAACCTCACGATAGTCCAATTTTTTAATGTGTTACAGAGCTATCTTTGGATGGGTACAAATGTACCACGGTTATTGATCTACGTAGGTAATAACTTTAAAAAATTGTAAAAAGTATATATATGGAAAATATTCATAATTTTTTTCTTCGGTTATGTGTGAAAATACCTCAAGAATGATTCCTCAAAATTTGATCCAAATATCTCCATTATTAAACATTTTACAGCATTTTTATTCAAAAAAAGGTACAAATGTACCCGGTTATTGACCGTAGGGTTAAAAAATCCACGCCATGAAGAAATCTTCTTTAAAAAATCCACGCCTTTGGCAGCCATGAAGAAATCTTCTTTAAAAAATCCACGCCTTTGGCAGCCATGAAGAAATCTTCTTTAAAAAATCCACGCCTTTGGCAGCCATGAACAAATTTTTTAAAAAAAAATCACGCCTTTGGCAGCCATGATCAAATCTTCTTTAAAAAATCCACGCGAATGGTAGCGCCTTGCTGGTGCCCCTGAAAAAAATATTCTTTAAAAAATGAACGAAACTTCCACCCCGTACCTCATACATTTTTATGAAGAATAACCCATCTGACCATACAGTGGCAAATCAATTCCGCTCTAATGATATTTTCATTCTCTTCATTTTTTCTCTTTTGTTCTCCGCATAGATAACGATCATTTGGTCAATTTGAAGTTGCAACAAACGCCAAAGTTAATCGACGATGCATTCGTTTTTATACGACGCTATGCCAATACATCACAACTCGTGGAGAATTCACATAAGTTAGCGGAACGTTTAGAGAAATGTTTTTATCACAACGAGAATTCGGCGTTGGATTTGTGTGATGGTGAAAATGTGGTAAGTTTTAAACAATAACAACAACAAAAACATAGAAAATATGAATATTGTTTCTTTATTTTCCCCAAGCGTGGCCTATATCATCACAATCAAACCGACTACATAATACATCCACTGCCCGAACGTTTTGGCAATAACACACACATTATACTCGAATCCGAATCGGAGTTATACGATTCCATTTGGTCCAACTCATCATCAGTATTAAATGAAAATATACAATTTGAACCGGAAATGGAAGAATTTAATGATTTAAATATCGAAACAATGGCCGATCTGGAAAATACAACGCGTTCGACAAGAAATATTGAAAACGACCCGAGACAGGGACGCGATCATGCCAGAAAATTACATCACAATCACAATGTTGTACCTTTAAATTTACGTTTTAAGCCACGACATCATCATCAGCAACATGGGAATCATCAGAGACATCCTACAAATGCTCATAATCAGCATCACTCTGCAAAACGCCATCAGGTTCATCGTTCCCATCATCCAAATAAACAACATCACCATAATCAAAAACAACAACAACAACATCATCATCAGCAGCATTCTTTGCTTCCAACCATGGACTCGGAAAAGGCGACCAAACGTGCTAGACGCTTCATATCCCCCGTCAAGGAATGGTACAGCCCCTCTGATGTTCTACACATTGAGACGGCCATTTTTGTCGATACGGATCTCTATAAACATATGGCAAAGAATTTTCCCAAAGATACCAGCTCGCATTTGATACGTTTCGTATTGGCGATGATCAATGGAGTCCAATTACTATATCATCATCCCTCTTTGGGTCGAAGAGTTAATTTTGTTCTGAAACGTTTAGAGATATTGGAAAAAGATCCCTTGGACTTGCCACGATCAAGCGATATTGATATTTATTTGAGTAATTTTTGTAAATGGCAGACGCGATGGAATTCGGCAAAAGATCCAAAACTGCACTATGATCATGCAGTCATATTAACGGGTAAGTTGGGAAAAAATATTTTAAAAAATCCTTATCTCTGTTAGGATATGGAAATATATTTTAAAGAAAATGCTAGTCCTTGGAATAAAATCTTTTATAAAATGTAGGTCTTAGATAGTTGTAGAACAAATATATCTAATAATATAAGAATTAGATAGTCTTTGAAGCAATTAAATAATCTCATAAAATACATTTTTTAAAAAATCCACACCATTGAATAATATTTATAAAATATCAGGGCTCTGACAGTAGAAAATATTTTAAAACCAGTGAGCGGAGCAGTATAGTGGGACTGGCCGAACATATGATACCCTACACAACTTCCACGAAAATCTAACTTTGTGTGGTTCTATATTCTGATCTTGGGCAATATTGGCACTCTCATGACCTCCACCGTAGATTGTGTTGTTATGTTCGGATTTCAATGTCTAGCACGTTTGGTCGACTTGAAAAAAAAACACAAAAAAATAAGTTTTCGGTCCACTTCATTCCAATATTATTAATTGGTATCAATTTAAAGGTCAACCACTCCTCTTGGATATACTATCAACTTCTCGGGTCTATGTCCTTCAGTGGTAAATATATACGCCCCAGAATACAAATTTTGTAATTTTTCACACAAAAGTCAGGGTCTTTATCAAAACAGGCATGCTTATTCTTTGGCCCGATCCCCATGCAAACATTTGCGATGTTTGGGTCATAATTGCGGCCTCTGGAGCGATCAGAAATACCGCCAAAAATAAAGTTTTTGGTCCATTTCATCCCCTAAATATTAACCGATCTTTTCCAAAAACAATAGGGGTCTTCATTGGCCAGAACCAATCCTACATGCAAAATTTCGTGAAGATTGGTCCATAACTGTGGCCTGTATCGTGTTTACAAATTATAATGGACGGACGGACACACACGTCTAGATCGACTCAGCTAGTCGAGATATACTTAATGGTGGGTCTAGGACCAATATTTCGCGGCGTTACAAACTTTTGGGGCTGCACAAAGCTATAATACCCTGACAACATAGTTGTGTAGGGTATAAAAATCTCAGAATTTTTAGGGTCATTTAAGAAACTCAGGCCTCTGATAGTCCCTCAAAAATGTTAAGCCTTTTTAATCTTTTTAATCCAGGTCTCTGATAGTCTCTAAAATTTCTTTTTATACCCTTCGCCACACTGTGGTACAGGGTGTTTGTAACAAGCAAAAGTAGTCGAGATAGACCCATGCTTCCTTTTGAAGATATGCATAGAATCACTTTCTGAGTCGATTTGCGTATGTCCGTCCATGTATTTTTACATGTGCATGTCGCATTTATAATCCGATTTGGATGAACTTTGGCACAGTTAACTTATTTGGCCCAAGGACTAACCCTATTGAAATTGGAGAAAATCGGTTCAGATTTAGATATAGCTCCCATATATAGTTTCGTCCGATTTTATGCGAATGATGAACCAAACTCCCAATATTTGTACGATTGGGACAAAAATTTGCACAAAGTAATGAATTATGTTCAGACTGATGTCTGCGAAGTTTTGTGGAAATCGGTTCAGATTTAGATATAGCTCGCATATATATTTTCGTCCGATTTTATGGAAATGATGCACCAAACTCCCAATATTTGTCCGATTGGGACAAAATTCTGCACAGAGTACTGAATTAGTCCCAGGCTGATATCTGCGAAGTTTTGTCAAAATCGGTTCAGATTTCGATAAAGCTCCCATATATAGTTTCGTCCGATTTTATGGAAATGATGCACCAAACTCCCAATATTTGTCTGAATGGGACAAAATTTTGCACAGAGTACTAAATTAGGTCCAGCCTGATGTATGCGAAGTTTTCTTAAAATCGGTACAGATTTAGATGTAGCTCCCATATGTAGTTTCGTCCGATTTTTTTTTTTGAGTGACCATACTCCCAATATTTGTCCTATTGAGACAAAATTTTTCACAGAGTACTGAATTAGATCCAGACTGATGTCTTCGAAGTTTTGTTAAAATCGGTTCAGGTTTAGATATAGCTCCCATATAAAGTTTCGTCCGTTTTTTTTTTTTTTTTGAATGATGCACCATACTCCCAATATTTGTCCGATTGAGCAAAATTTTGCATAGCGAATGCAATTGAGGAAAAATTATGTGTGATAAGGTTTGTTGAAATCGGTTCAGATTTTGATTTAGGTCTTATATATATTCTCGTTCGATTTTATGTAAATGTGCACCGAAGGGCCTATGTCTGTTACATTTACACGAAATTTGGTAGAGGGTCTTAAGGGGACCCCCCCATTCTCGGTGTCAAAATTTTTGTTGATATAATTCGAATCTACACTGATTAAGGAATGTCTCTACAAAATTTCAAGTGAAAATCTCAAGAAGTCTTGAAGATATATCCGATTTATTGTATCAACATTAAGTGACGGCTAAAGGGCTTCTCAAACTTTAAACGCGTTTTACTCTAAACATTTTTTTGTGAATGGCGGGCACGATAACTCAAAAACCAATAATCCAATCGGTTCCAAATTTTGCAGCGTTTCTCTGAGAGTGTATAGCTCTCGTATGAACTAGGATAAAGCCAATCGGTGAAGATCTTCCTTATTTTTTAACATGGTTTTTGGTAAAAAATCGGCGATTTTCCAAAAAAAAAATTTTCAAAGGTCCACCATTTTGTTAATTTTAAAGCGAAGTCAATAAGCCTAGTTCATACGAGAGCCAGACATGTCCTCTTTCTAATACAGTTGGAATTTTGGGATTCCGATGTTCCAGTGAGGAGTTATCATGCCCGCCATCGAAAATGTGGACTTTTCTTTGCACCCAAAAAACAACAACAAAACAACAACAACAAATTTTTGTAAATTATTTTTCTTCCTTTTTAAATCTTCAAATATATATGTGCCAAGTTAAACATTTCGAGAGTGTTTTTGTGGTAGCTCATGAAATTGGCCACAAGTAAGTAGGTTAAAGCAGTTGATGGCAACAAAAACAAAATGCAATAATATCTGCCAACAACAATGGAGGAGTCTTCATGACCATATTTCGTGCCAGATTTGCATTATTTGTTGCCAGAATAAAAAATAACAACACCAATAATAATTATATCCTCTTTACAGTTTAGGTATGCGCCATGATAGCATCGATAATGGCTGTGAACCCACCTCTCACATAATGTCACCAACACTGGGCAGTGGCAAAATCACATGGTCGAAATGCTCACGAGATTCATTGAACTTGTTTTTGGAGTAAGTGGGGTGATAGGGGGATTGTGTTTCATTTTATTTATTTAAAAAATATTTTATTTTTATGATTAGGAAATCCCAAGCCAAATGCCTGTTCAATCGTGCAGAGTTTAATCACAATTTGGACCATTCGGCAGAGGGCATCCTGCCCGGAGAACGTTTCGATGCCAATCAACAGTGTATGCTGAAATATGGCAAGGAGTCGACCAGGGCCCGTAGTCAATCGTTGGCGGATATTTGTCGGGACTTACATTGCCAGAGGGATCGTTATACATGGACCTCGCATCCAGCCTTGGAGGGTACTGCATGTGGTGATAATATGGTAAGTTGGATAGGAGGACATAAACCAAATATTTTAAAGAATGTTCTATAAAGGAGACGTGGATTTTTAAAGAATATTTTTTCAAGGGTTACCAAAGGCGTGGATTTTTAAAGAATATTTTTTCAAGGGTTACCAAAGGCGTGGATTTTTTAAAGTAAATTTTTTCAGGGGTTACCAAAGGCGTGGATTTTTTAAAGTAAATTTTTCAGGGGTTACCAAAGGCGTGGATTTTTTAAAGTACATTTTTTCAGGGGTTACCAAAGGCGTGGATTTTTTAAAGTACATTTTTTCAGGGGTTACCAAAGGCGTGGATTTTTTAAAGTACATTTTTTCAAGGGTTACCAAAGGTGTGGATTTTTTAAAGAATATTTTTTCAAGGGTTACCAAAGGCGTGGATTTTCTAAAGAATATTTTTTCAAGGGTTACCAAAGGCGTGGATTTTTTAAAGTAAATTTTTTCAGGGGTTACCAAAGGCGTGGATTTTTTAAAGTAAATTTTTTCAGGGGTTACCAAAGGCGTGGATTTTTTAAAGTACATTTTTTCAGGGGTTACCAAAGGCGTGGATTTTTTAAAGTACATTTTTTCAGGGGTTACCAAAGGCGTGGATTTTTTAAAGTACATTTTTTCAGGGGTTACCAAAGGCGTGGATTTTTTAAAGTACATGTTTTCAGGGGTTACCAAAGGCGTGGATTTTTTAAAGTACATTTTTTCAGGGGTTACCAAAGGCGTGGATTTTTTAAAGTACATTTTTTCAGGGGTTACCAAAGGCGTGGATTTTTTAAAGTACATTTTTTCAGGGGTTACCAAAGGCGTGGATTTTTTAAAGTACATTTTTTCAGGGGTTACCAAAGGCGTGGATTTTTTAAAGTACATTTTTTCAGGGGTTACCAAAGGCGTGGATTTTTTAAAGTACATTTTTTCAGGGGTTACCAAAGGCGTGGATTTTTTAAAGTACATTTTTTCAGGGGTTACCAAAGGCGTGGATTTTTTAAAGTACATTTTTTCAGGGGTTACCAAAGGCGTGGATTTTTTAAAGTACATTTTTTCAGGGGTTACCAAAGGCGTGGATTTTTTAAAGTACATTTTTTCAGGGGTTACCAAAGGCGTGGATTTTCTAAAGAATATTTTTTCAAGAGTTACCAAAGGCGTGGATTTTTTAAAGAATATTTTTCAAGGGCTACCAAAGGCGTGGATTTTTTAAAGAATATTTTTTCAAGGGTTACCAAAGGCGTGGATTTTTTAAAGATTTTTTTAAGGGTTACCAAAGGCGTGGATTTTTTAAAGATTTTTTTTTTAAGGGTTACCAAAGGCGTGGTTTTTCTAAAGAATGTTTTTTCAAGGGTTACCAAAGGCGTGGATTTTCTAAAGAATATTTTTTCAAGGGTTACCAAAGGCGTGGATTTTTTAAAGAATATTTTTTCAAGGGTTACCAAAGGCGTGGATTTTTTAAAGAATATTTTTTCAAGGGCTACCAAAGGCGTGGATTTTTTAAAGAATATTTTTTCAAGGGTTACCAAAGGCGTGGATTTTTTAAAGATTTTTTTCAAGGGTTACCAAAGGCGTGGATTTTTTAAAGATTTTTTTTCAAGGGTTACCAAAGGTGTGGATTTTTTAAAGAATGTTTTTTCAAGGGTTACCAAAGGCGTGGATTTTTTAAAGAATATTTTTTCAAGGGTTACCAAAGGCGTGGATTTTTTAAAGAATATTTTTTCAAGGGTTACCAAAGGCGTGGATTTTTTAAAGTACATTTTTTCAGGGGTTACCAAAGGCGTGGATTTTTTAAAGTAAATTTTTTCAGGGGTTACCAAAGGCGTGGATTTTTTAAAGCAAATTTTTCAGGGGTTACCAAAGGCGTGGATTTTTTAAAGTAAATTTTTTCAGGGGTTACCAAAGGCGTGGATTTTTTAAAGAATATTTTTTCAAGAGTTACCAAAGGCGTGGATTTTTTAAAGTAAATTTTTTCAGGGGTTACCAAAGGCGTGGATTTTTTCAAGTAAATTTTTTTTGTCAAATTCATGGATTTTTAAAGAATTCTTTTTAAAGATCTTTAATCTTAGTATTACATTATTTTCTTAAATTTTTTTAGTGGTGTCGCAGTGGCTTCTGTGTTGTCAAGCGCATCGAACCTTATTCAGCCTCTAAGCAGACTGCAGGTCTTACAAAGGCAAATTATGACAAGGCCGCCTTTATGGATGGACCAAAGTCGGGAAATTTGTTACACGAATATCAGAAGGTAATACAGAAATTAAGATTCCGAAAATTTTAATAGAACTGACAAATTTCCCATACTTGCAGCCCTCTAGCAGTTGGAGTGAATGGAGTGAGCCAAGTGCTTGTGATTCCAGCTGCCTGTACGGCCCCTCAAAGCGCTTGAGTGAAGGTAGCACGGGTCTCAAAGTGTATACCCGAAAATGTGTCGACTACAAACGTCGCTGCATTGGACGTGATCATAAATTTGAGACGTGCGTTGCCAAACAATGTTACAGTGTTCCCATGCTCACGGTGGCCGATTTTGCCAAACAAGTTTGTGAGAAGGCGAAAAAATTCGATGGTGAACTAACCGGTGAGGGGGAACAAATATCCGGCAACATTGAAGAATCATGTAAAGTGTATTGTAAAACTAAAACAAATGGTACTAAATCCCGTAGTTGGACATTTCCTGATGGCACAACATGCATTTCGAAACTGTATCGCAATGATGAGCCATCCTATTGTATTCAAGGACGTTGTGAAAAATTCTCCTGCGATAATTCGACAAGTAATTATTATAAAATTGATAATATCTTTTGTAAGCAGCAGGATAGGAACAATGATATGGATAATGATACAATACGACGTAGTTCTGCATCGTCATCATCGTTGACATATCAAACGTATGGCAATCAAATACCTATGGGACCACCGGTAACAACGCATGCCACAGCAACGGCGGCATATAATAATTATGACGAATATAAATATCGCAGTAATACCAACAGCAACAATAATAATAATAAACATTATTATGATCGTGGTCCAAGTGCGGATCGTATTTATGGACCCACAACGGTGCGCAGTAAATATGAAAATGGTAAGCCAAAAAACATATTTTTGTCAGGCATCTCAAAATAGAGATGATAGAAAATTTTTAGGGGATAGTAGGGTACGATTTTATTAAAAATATTTTTTCAAGGGTCAAGGGTCACTTGAAGCGTGGTTTTATTAAAAGTATTTTTTCAAGGGTCTCTAGAGGCGTGGTTTTATGAAAAGTATTTTTTCAAGGGTCTCTAGAGGCGTGGTTTTATTAAAAGTATTTTTTCAAGGGTCTCTAGAGGCGTGGTTTTATGAAAAGTATTTTTTCAAGGGTCTCTAGAGGCGTGGTTTTATTAAAAGTATTTTTCAAGGGTCTCTAGAGGCGTGGTTTTATTAAAAGTATTTTTTCAAGGGTCTCTATAGGCGTGGTTTTATAAAAAGTATTTTTTCAATGGGTCTCTAGAGGCGTGGTTTTATTAAAAGTATTTTTTCAAGGGTCTCTAGAGGCGTGGTTTTATTAAAAGTATTTTTTCAAGAGTCTCTGGAGGCGTGGTTTTATTAAAAGTATTTTTTCAAGGGTCTCTAGAGGCGTGGTTTTAATAAAAGTATTTTTATTAAAAGTATTTTTTCAAGGGTCTCTATAGGCGTGGTTTTATTAAAAGTATTTTTTCAAGGGTCTCTATAGGCGTGGTTTTATAAAAAGTATTTTTTCAAGGGTCTCTAGAGGCGTGGTTTTATTAAAAGTATTTTTTCTTATTTTACATTTTCAGAGGTTGCTGTTAAACCCTTCCATGGCCAATATAATCATGACACGACCACCTATCGTCGAAAATCTGATAATTATGCCCCCTGGAATAAGTACAGTTATCACGTGAACGATCATGTACCGTCCGAATCCTCATTCCCCAAATCACCAACGTCAATTGCGGTCGCTACACCCGGTCCCCTGGAAAGCAATGAAAATGTATGGGTAGTAAAGTCGGGATGTTATTCAAGTTGTATGGCTCGTTCCAAGGGTATACAGGTGGTTATGAATCGCAAAACGGGTGAAAAGAATATACAGCTATGTACGCACACAGTTAAGGTGAGGAGGGAGAAAGAGAAATTTATGGACACAAATTAAAATATATTTTTTTTATTAATTCTCTTTTAGCCCTGTGAACGTCTGCAGACCACTGGAGAATTTGCCGATAATACCTGTTCTGGGTATAAGACCAAAGTTCGTGGTCTTTCGGGTCATGGCATTCAAATCGCTGCCAGCGTTGAGAATCCTGATCGTAGCTGTCGTGTCGGTTGTCAAGATGAATTTATACAACATCGGTTCTATTTAGTCAACGGCAATTATGGTCACTTCCCGCTGGGCACCCGTTGTTCGAATAGCGAAGATCGTTACTGTGTTCAAGGCAAATGTTTGGAATTTGGTCCAGATCATATACCATTGCAAAAATCTCATATAAGTTTGGCACTATTTCGCAGTCGGCGTTCGGCTAAGAAACATCAACAACACACGAGAAAGAAGCGAAGTTTCCTATACTACGATCCGGTGAATATAACCGAAACATTGACACAAGATTTTATCGATAATATTGTAAACAGTATTATAAATCTGGAAGCGAATCAAAGGAATGGTAGGGAATTATATTAAAAAAAGTATTGAAAGAGATTATTTTAAATTTATTATTTTTAAATTTTTTAGAAGATTCACTTCTTGATCATCACATCGAATTTACAAATCCCATAACATATCCAATGGATGAAGAACACCACAAGGCCCATGAACATTAGCTGGGACATTTATGGAATAGTTTTTTTTATTTTTATCCAAGTCTATGCTGTCTCCATTATTTTTGTGGATTTTTTATATTTTCAAATATTTATTGCTTATATATTTTTTATAGTATTTTATCTATAAAATTATATATTAGAATTAGGCGATTAAATGTATCTCTGATAAGTCGTGATATTTTAGTTTTATAATTATTTTTGCATATTCAAATTATAATCAAGAAAAGGAAAAACAAAAATAAAAAACATATACATTTTTATGTGGAACTCAAAAAAAAATCAATTTTAAAAGTCTACATGTGTTACAGAACGGTTGTTCCATAAGCCGAGCTTAAAAAAGATTTCCCAAGCGCGTCTTTCCATATAATTCGTGGTCGGGAATTGTGCGCAAATCCACTAATTTGGTATAAAGACGTGGTTCATTGTTCAGTTGGTCCGAGTCTACTGGACGTCTTGCGTGTTGATACCATCAGCTTGGTCTTCTCGCCGTTTACTGCCAGACCCACTTTGGCAGACTCCTTTTCAATTTGTTCAAAGGTGGATGTTATCGCTCGCAATGTTCAACCCATTATATCGATGTCATCGACGTAGGCGAGTAACATGTGCTGTTTGGTGTACAGAGTGTCATTTCTGTTCACCATTGCGTCTCGTATGACCTTTCCCAGCAGGATGTTAAAAAGATCACTCGACAAACTGTCACCTTGCTGAATCCTCGTTCGGTATTGAACCCTCCATAGTATGGCGGGTATATTAATTTAGTGTTTCCGTTTGTAACTGATCGAAATAATCATTCAGCGTAGTTTCGTCCGATTTTTTGTGAATGATACACCAAACTCTCCAAATATATGTGATTGGGACAAATTTTTGCATAGCGCATTGGATCAGGTCCATGCTTATGTGTGCGGAGTTTTGTTGGAATGGGTTCAGATTTAAATATAGCTCCATATCCAAGTTCGTGCGTTTTATGATGATCACCAAACCCAATATTTCTGCAACCAACCCTTTGCACAGAGTACTGAATTAGGACCAAGCTAATGTTGGCAATGTGG